CTCCAGTGGGAGTGGAAACTGTGTCAGTGCATGTATGCGCGTATGTGTGTGTGCACATATGTGTGCTATGTGTGTGTACCCACAGACACCCCACTTCCCCTCCGGTCTCATCTCATCTCCTTGTACCTTCCATTCCCAGAAATACCCGCCTCGGAAAGACTTGGTCCGAGCCGTGTCCATCCAGACGGGCTACCTCATCCAGAGCACGGGGCCCAAGAGCTGCGTCATCACCTACCTGGCTCAGGTGGACCCCAAAGGTGAGGGAGGGTGTGGCCCTGAGCCCAGTTAGGCAGGACCCTTCCCTGTGCCACTGGAGATGGGCTTGATCGACTAGGGAGTCAGCAGGGCCTCTTTGAGGAGCAGTTTTCTATATGTGAGGGCACAGGTGTCCCAAACACCATTTGAACTGAGACTTCCCAGTGGTCTGAAAAGCAGGGCCAGGGTGTGGGTGCTGCACCCCAAAAGAGTTCAGGCTTTCCACCTGACTCCCCTTCTCTGGCCTGCTCCCTACTGTCCACCTGGTCCACATTCTGGGCCCATCTGGAGGCTGCAGTTTACAAGCCTTAGTCCTCCTACCCCATTTTTTTGTTTGTTTGTTTGTTTTTGCTTTTTGGGTTACACCCGGCGATACTCAGGGGTTACTCCTGGCTCTACACTCAGGAATTACTCCTGGTGGTGCTCGGGGGACCATATGGGGTGCTGGGAATCGAACCTGGGTTGGCCACGTGTAAGGCAAACACCCTACCCGCTGTACTATCACTCCAGCCCCAGTCCTCGTACCCCTTTGGGAAGACCCTGTCCGCGATGTCACTGGTGTGAGGACCACATCACCCACTCTGCTGAGTTCTAGGTCTAGCATTGCGGGTCTCCTGGGCAGCTCCCTTTGGATCTTGAAATCAGTCCCCGTGTCCCTGGCTAAGTTCCTCACTCTCTCCCACCAAGCTTGGCCCTGCACCTGTGTCTTCGCCTCTTGCTCCGACCCAGGTCAAGAACAACGTGTGTTCCTAGGCAGCTCTCTTAAGTCCACAAACATGGCCCTTGATTCTTTGAGGCCACCCCTGGCGATGCTCAGGGGTTACTCCTGGCTCTGTACTCAGGGATCACTCCTGGCAGTGTTCAGGAGACCATATATGATGCCAGAGATCGAACCTGGGTCAGCCGTGTGCAAGAGAAGAGCCTTAACCGTGTACTGTCTCCAGCAACTCTGATTCTTTTTGATTCTGCTCCTGGGTAGCTTCAGAATCTGATTCTCTTCCCACCTAGCCACCTTGTCTGGCCAGACCACTCACCAGAAGAAGTTTTCCAAACTGCTCCTATGCCCTGACTCTTGCAGGGGCAAGAATCTCGTGCTAGATGGCTAGGACTCTTGTAGACCTTCTCACACCTATTTCTAGTGTAGCCTAGAAATACCTGCTGATGCACCCTCTCGGGCTGCTCCAGATACCACCTCCCTGTCCCAGAGACCCAGGATGGCAGTGACTCCAGGCTCCGTGGGCCCATTCTTCTCTCGCAGGGCAGTTGCCACACTGTTGGGACCCCTCAGACAGTCCCCAGGGCTGGCACTGTGGAGTGAGTGAATGGATGGAAGGACAGATGCACATAGCATTACTAGGCACAGTACTTGACTCACATCTGTGCAGCCACCCTGAACATTTTTATTTATTAATTTTGGTCTTGGGCTCATAACTAGTGCTACTCAGGGGCTATTCCTGGCTCGTTGCTCAGGAGTGTGCTTGGGGTGGACCATAGGTAGTGCCAGGGATTCAAACGTGGATTGCTGGAGGTGTGGCTGCACGCAAGGCAAATGCCTTATCCCTGTACTACTGTCTCCAGGGCCCACCCAGATTGAGTGTGTGGAGTGCCAGAGGGCAAGTGGGAATGAAAAGGTGGACAGGCAGGCTGTGGATTTCAGGCCAGAGCAGGCTGGGGTGTCGGTTCAGATGCCCCTGAGGTCAGGCAGGCAGCAGGCAGGGGGGTTCCTGGGGCAGGGGGCAGAGGAGTGCTAGCCTCTGGGGTATTGGTGAAGGCTTGGCCAACTCAAGGGTTGTCAGTCGACAGGGGTGGTGAGGGGGGATCCCGAGGGCTAGAACTGCAACCCACACGCAGCCGGGATCCGCAGGGACCCTGTGGTTTTCTTCTGTGTCCTTTGGGACTCAGCAAAGTGGGGGGTGGAGTGGGGCACGGAGGAAACAGCTTTGAGCTTTTTTTTTTTTCTTTTTGGGTTATACCCGGCAATGCACAGGGGTTACTCCTGGCTCATGCACTCAGGAATCACCCCTGGCGGTGCCCGGGGGACCATATGGGATGCTGGGAATCAATCCCGGGTCGGCCACGTGCAAGGCAAACGCCCTACCCGCTGTGCTATCACTCTAGCCCCGACAGCTTTGAGCTTTGGTGGAAAGAGAGCGAGGCCAATAGAGTCAGAGGTTTTCTCCCAGGGCCCCCTCCCCCAGGGACGAGGGCGATCCTCCCAGGCTGGGGCTGGGGGCTGGCTTCCAGACGCCCCACCTTCCTTCTGTCCTCACTCCCTTCCCCGCCCTCACAGGCTCCTTACCCAAGTGGGTGGTGAATAAATCTTCTCAGTTCCTGGCTCCCAAGGTGAGTGGCCCCGAGACTGGGTGGGATGTGGAAGCCCAGAGGAGTCCGGGTGGAGGCGGAGCGGACGGCGAGGGAGTTGGGGCGTGAGGGGCGTGGCTAGAGCAAGGGGCGTGGCTAGAGCGAGAGGCGTCGCTAGCCGAGGGAGGGGCTAGAGGCGGGGCGTGGCTAGAGAGGAAAGGCGGGCTTAGGGCTCAGGGGCGTGGCTAGAGCCCAGGGGCGGGGTTAGAACCCAGGGCCGAGTTGGGAAAACCCGACCGAGTCCGGGTTCCGCGGGCTGGGCAACTGGGCTGCCGGGGAAATGGGGAAGCCCTAGTCCCATACTCCTCGCCCCTTGACCTGTCCGATTCTGACTCCGGCCTTGCCGCGGGCTCTCAGGCCATGAAGAAGATGTACAAGGCGTGCGTCAAGTACCCCGAGTGGAAGCAGAAGCACCAGCCGCACTACAAGCCCTGGCTACACCCGGAGCAGAGCCCCTTGCCGAGCCTGGCGCTGTCGGAGCTGTCAGTGCAACACGCGGACTCGCTGGAGAACATCGATGAAAGCACGGTGGCGGAGAGCAAGGAGGAGCGCGTGGGGGGTGCAGGTGGCGAGGGCAGTGACGACGACACCTCGCTCACCTGAGCCCTGCACCACGGCAGGGACCGAGACGAGACAGGGCGACAGGGCGGAGCCCCGGAGCGGTGAACCCTCCCGGCTTTCTCCCCCTCCCCCACCCTGCGCCTCTGGGGGACCCTGGGCTCCTGTCCAGGCTGGCGCCGCGGTGTGACTGGACACAACCCGGAATAAACAATCCCACAGCCTCAGCCGGCTCTTCGCTGTGCCCCTTTGGAAAAGTTCATTTTGTTAACTTTATTGTTGATTCTGTCTTTTATTTCCCCTCGTGGAGCTGGGGTTTGGGTCACTCTTATTCCTGCCCACGGTGTTCACTCCACCCTCTGCTCAGGTTGTGGGGGTGACCTTGCATTGCTCTAAGAGGGCAGTTCTGGCCCGGGTGCAGTGGATGGGGTTCTGCTGTGTGAGCTCCTGACCCTTGGTCCAGGAGGCGGAACCAACACTCCTGTCACTGCAGAATGGAAAGGGAGGGGTCCTGGGTCGTAGTGCAACAGGACTGAAAGTTGGGTCCAGCTTGTTCTGCAATAAAGACGTCGACTCTAGTGCCATGGCAGGACTGGGAGCAGTGATTCAAGCCCTCCTTTAGTTGTTTTATGTCTTGGAAGAATCAAGCCCAGGGACTTACGCAAGCCAAGTCCTCTACACTCAACCACATCCTCGGACCCTGTCCTGTATTAAAGTGGGGCATGGGGAAGAGGGGAGGAGGGGCCCCAGTCCCATGCTTGTGGTCAGATACTGGTGTCCTGGTCCTTGTTTAACTGGCAGCTTTGAACCCTAGGGCAACCCCCTCTGCCTCCCTCCAGTGATTTTTTTTTCTTTTTGGATCACACCCGGTGATGCACAGGGATTACTCCTGGCTCACAGACTCAGGAACTACTCCTGGAGGTGCTGGGGGGACCATATGGGATGCTGGGAATCGAACCCGGGTCGGCCGCGTGCAAGGCAAACACCCTACCCGCTGTGCTATCGCTCCAGCCCGTCTTCAGTGATTTTATACCCCATGTGAATTTGGGACTGGGACGTTCTGGAGACAAATGAGCACCTTCCAAAATCAGTGTATCTATCCCACATCCTCTACCCTGGCGGGAACTGCCAGGCAGAGGGGAAAATAGGAGTATACAGAGAAGTGAGGGTCCCTGATTTGGCGTTCAGGAATTTCTGCAGATCCTACCTGACCCCACCTGCTCTGTATATGAGCTGGCGGGATAGTTGGGGTCTGCCCTTCTCTGGGCCAGCGGTGGTGTCAGTCTGGGTGCAGGACTCTCACCCGAAGTATTGGGGGGCTCCATTAACAGGTGCAACTCCCTCTGTCAGCCTGTCGGTGAGAGTTGTGGGCCCAGGAGAGAGGGTAATCTTTTCCCAGCACGAGATGAGGAAGGAAGGACTTCGGGAGGAGGTCCAGGGAGGGTCTCGATCATTCTATGTCCAACTCCCCACCCCTTACCGCCCTGGGGAGACAGAGCCCCCGGCTGTGTCTGTTGCGACTCCCTGGAGCAGAGCCGCCCAGAGAGGGGTGACATGAGGCTGGGAGACTCAGGAAGAGACTTGGGAGAGAAGCGGGTGGTGGGAGCGGGACGCGAGAGAGACGCCGCGGCACCGGTCCGCACGGCCAGCGGGAGGGCGGGCGGGCGGGCGGGGCGGGGCCAGAGTGGGCGGGGCCTCGCGTGGCCCCGCCCTCCCGTCCCGGGGCGTCACGTGGGGCTGGCGGAAGCGCCCGGCGGGGTGGGCGCGCCCGGCTTGTTGGCCGCGAGTTGGCAGCGGCGGCGTGATTCTCCGGCGACCCCGAGACCTGGGGCCCCTGCGAGGAGTCTTCGCTCCGGACAGGTCAGTGCCGCGGCCGGAGCCACCTGGGCGCCCCGCTCGTGGGGCAGGTGTGGCCCGAATTTCCCCATTCCGCAGACGGGAACGCCGAGGCCGCGCGGGCACTCACTCTGCGCGGGGCGCCGACTTCCGCGGCCGGGTCGCCGTGCTCGGGGGGCGGGGGGGGTGCTCTGTTTCCTGGCTTGGGGGTCGCCCCCTGACGTCGGGCGGCAGATCAGCGCCTCGCCGCCGTCAGCCCGGGCCGGGAAGGTGACGGGCGCCGGGAAGCTTGCTCTTCCCCCTGGATGAACCGAGGGCGCCCACCGGTTGAGCGCCCGACCCCCGTGCAGCTCCGCACATCCACTTGATCCCGTGTCTGTCTGCACCTGAGGCTCCGCTGACCTTGGGCAGATGACTTCCGGTCTCGGCGCCGCAGGTCCCCGCCGGTAAAGGGGGGCACGGCCTCCCAAGAGCCCCATACCTGGCCCAGTTGCTGGGAAGAGGAAGTGTGTTCACAGAACGGGGTCAAGCCGGCCCTGGGTGGTGGGGAAGGGAGAGAACCGGCTTGGGAAGCAGCCTGGGACACGGGGGGCGGGCAGGGTCCCGTCCGGTCCTGGGGGCAGGGGGGGGGCGGTGGTGTGCGCGCCAGCTCTGCTTTAGAGCCCTCACAGTCTGGCCTCTGTGGCATGCATGTGCCCCTGGCCCTGAACCCTCTCTGGCCTGGGGAGACTTGGGGGAGCTTGGCAGATGGGGATCAGCCGTCTGCTAAGGATCTGACCGCATCCTGGCCCCTCCAGACTGGTACCCTGGAGAGCAGTGTCTAGGGGAGGCCTCCCAGCCAGCAGCTCATTCATTACAGGGTAGAAGGAGCCCTGCTCCAGGAAGACGGGTGCAGACAGGTCCAGAGGGAATGAAGGGCTAGGACCGAGGGATGCTGGCATGCGGGAGGTGACTGGGAGGTGGTAATTCAGCAGGATGAGGGCAGGGACTCCCTCTTGTTGAGGCATGGAAGTTGGATGTGGCAGGAAGACAGGCCAGACAGGGTTTCGAGAGAATTCACCCCCACACCGCCTGCCTGACTGGGGATTGCCCAGATCACAGCCTCTGGACAGACACCCCCCCTCCCCATTTGCTGATTGGTCACTAATGTGGGGTAGCAGCAAGGCATCCCAAGCTGCCCCCACCGCCACAGCCCACATTGCCCCCAGCTTCATTGCAGTGTTTTGACTGCCCCACTCAGCCCCAGCGGCAACCCCCTACCCCGGGGCTCCAGCCGTGCTTCCAGCGCTCCTTGCAGGCTGCTCTCCCTGCCTGCCTACCAGTTTCCTCCCTGTTGGATGTTCCAGGAGAGGGAGGGTCTTCCTGCAGCTGCGGGGGTCAGGGTGGGGGGGGACCTGCAGGACCAAGGGGTCCTGTCAAGCCTCCACACACAAGGAGCTGGGGGGTCTCCAAACTTCTTGAAGTCTCAGTTTCCCCTGGGGGGGGGGCTTCTGGTCCCAGTCTCCAGAGAGACTCTGTGGGAGCAAGACATGGGCCCTGCTCGAACCATCCTGCCCCAGTGGGATTTTCCTCACGAGCAAAGGGAGTACCTGGGTGGGAAGAGGGGTGAGTTCCAAGGGGTCCCAGGCCTCAGACTCTGTGGGGCGAGTGGTGGATGAGCCTGGAAATGAGCCCAGAGCATTGGCTAGAGAGAAGGGAGTCCCCTCCGCTCTAGGGGACCCTCTCCCCGTCCCACCCCATTCTCCCTTTGGCCAAGCTCAAAGCCAGCCGGCTGGTGTTCAGACAAGCGGCCTCTGTTCCCAGGGCAGGGGGAGGGGAGGAGACACTGGGCTGCAGGCCCGCCTGTCCAGCACTGACCCCGGGCCCCCGCCTTCCCTCTGCATCTTAACCCTTGGGCGTCGGGACTGGCCCCAGGGCTGCTAGAGGGCTAATGTGCTTCCCTCCAGCTGTCCACCCCATCCCCTGCCCTCCCCCCCCTCCCCAGCCCACTGCAGGCACCCCAGGGTTTGGTGCAGCAGGAGTTAGATATGGGGCTGCGGCATGGGAGGACGGCAGGAGCAGATGTGGTCTGCCCCACCAGGGGCCCCTGGGCCCGGAAGTGTCTTTCAAAGATTGGGTGACTGAGGTCCCAGGCCGGGGCTGGACCGTGGCGGGCTCAGTGCAGCCGTCTTGGGGAAGGGAAAGAACTTGCGGGAGCGTGCTCAGACCTGAGGACCAACTGTGTGCCCGCCTGCCCCTGCACGGTGGCGGCTTTCCTTGGCCTCGGTTCCTGAGGTAAGGGTCACCTTCCTGTGAGCTCGGGGAAGAAACCAAGGGTGAGGGAGGGGCGACGGTGCGAGGAGCCTGCTCGGTGCCCACATCTCCATGGGCAATAACCCGTCTTGCCAACCCCCAGCCACCGTGGGGCTTAGGTGCCTTTGTGCAGAGCAGGAAACTGAGGCACAGCGAGGCGAGTGCTCCCTGGTGAAGTCAGTGGTCAACATTGGATTAGGACCCTGGGTTTCTCTCCCCAAGTCTGACCTCACCCCCTGAACAAGAGCTCAAGATCAGGTGGGCCCAGGCAGGGAATCTTCCCTTGATGGTGTCCCCAGCCTCCCTGGGAGAGTGACTCCGTGCAGCAAAGACCCTGGCCTCTCCTTTGGGAACAGCCAACTTCTGGGGGTGACCCTCTTCCCGTCTCTCTCAGGCTGCACCCAGCTCCTCCATAGCCCTGCACGGGGGTACATATTTCAAGAAGTTCTGTGGGGACATCGTGTCCTCTAGTCTGTGTTTAGGGGGCTCTTGTGTGTGGGGTCCTCATAGACACCCCCCAGGGCCTGATGCAGATTGCACCCCCACCTCCCTGATCAGAAAGGAGAAAGGACATTCCGCCCACTTGAGCCCACTCCTGTCAGGCCCCCAGACCCTCACATTGCAGCCGGGCTCTGGGGGGCTGGACCAACTCTGAGAGGAGACCCCAGGTTAGGGGTAGCCGGGAGCAGACGTGGGGGGCTGGCGGGACACAGTGCGAGACTGGCCGTCTGCACGTTCTTCCTGTGGAACTTCTTTGTCTCATGGCTTGGGCCATAATTCAGAAGGGAAAATCCTGCCCCACGGTCAGGACGACTGTCGTAGATCATGGGGACAGGGTGGCGGGGAGGGGCTGCGGGCTGAGGAGTGATCTGGGTAAGAAACTGAGCACTGGCTACAGTGGAACTGTTCCTGAAGGCTTGCTTGGGCCAGTTCCGGGGTGTCGCTGTGTCTCAGGGCTGTCTGGCAGGGGAAGCGCATTGTTCCATTTCACAGAGCAGTTGGGGGTGGGGGTGGGTTCTGTGATTTGCCTGAGATTCTCCCCCTCCCCCCCCCCCAGGAGGGAGGGGCACCTGGATATCTGCTGTGCAGAAAGAACCCTGAGCCCCAGGAGCCTCCCCAGACAGCAGGGAGCCGGCGCTATTCCACTCCGGGAAGTCCCCACAGGGGCGGCAGGCAGGGCAGGGCCTGGGGCGCCCATTCAGGTGACTTGGCTGCAACCTGCTGAGGGGAGACTGGGCTGACACTGGCGTGAGCTGAGCCCCGTCAGCCCACCCCAAGATGAGCCTCTCCTGAGCTCTCTGCTCTTGTCCAGTCCATCCTTTGTCCTTTCGCTGCCCGTGACTGGGGCTGGGGGATCTTGGGGACTTTTGCTGACAAAGACCCTTGAGCAGAGGCAAAGGTGTGGGCTTTCAGTCTCTGAGGGAAGAGTGGGAAGGGAGGGGGGCGCTCAGGTCAGCACACCCCTTTCCTGCCGGGCCTCTGAAGCCCCTAACCTTCCTTTGGACCCACCCCTCGCCCGCCTCGTCCCGGGCTCCGAGTCTCTCTCCCCAAACTCGCAAGGTGCCTGGATCTGTTACGGCCGGGGGTGTCCGACAGGGCAAGCCTAGGAGGCAGTTCCAGAGCTCAGAGGCCAAGAACGCAGAGATGACCATGGCCAAGAGCCTGGAACTCCAGCCCAGGGGGGCCCAGAGGGACAAGGGGTTCAGAGAGGAGGGGAACCTGAGCATGGAGACCAAATAGGGAGCCAGGGCCTTGCCTCAGGGGGCAGGGCTGGGGTCTCACCCTGGGGAATCCTACAGGCTCCCCAGCTACTCTGGGGAGGGAATGACGGGATGGGGGAGACAGGCCCTCCTCAGAGCATCAGGTAGGGGTGTGTGTGTGTGTGTGTGTGTGTGTGTGTGTGTCAGTGTGTTGTAAGAGTGTGAGAGAGTATGCATGTGAAAGAGTGTGTGTGAGAGAATGTGAAAGAGTATTTGTGAGAGTGTATATGTAAGAGTGTGTGTGTGAGAGAGTGAGAATGTATATATGAGAGTGTGGTGTGAGTGTGTGTATGTGTATGTGTGAGAGTATGTGTGTATGAGGGAATGTGTGTGAGAGTGTGTATAATTATAAAAGTGAGAGTGTGTATGTGAGAATGTGTATGAATATGTGTTGAGAGAGTGTATGTGAATGTGTGAGAGTGTGCATGGGGTGTGAGAGTGTTGTGAGAATGTGTGGGAGAGCTTTGTGAGAGTGTTAGAGTGTGTGTGTGTGTGTGTGTTGTCGCTAATGCATACTTTCCAGGTCGTACCTGCCCCGCCTACCTCTGGGGCGGTGCTGTGCATGTGTCTGTGTGTCTTCGGGGCTGTGTGGCCCTTGCTGCAGAGCTGGTCTTGGAGTTCCCTGGGAGGACCTGGGCTTCCATCTTCGTGGGGTGTGCTCAGTACCCCACGTCCAACTGGTTGGGGGAAGAGGGGCCTGATTCTGCACCCAGCGCTGTGGTGACCCGGGGCCAGGCTTCCCCCAGCCGGAGTGGGGTCACTTATCCGGGTCTGTGGTGAAAAGCTCTGCTGGCTCCCGTGCCTGGTGGGAGTGGCTGAGGTTTGCCTGATGACGGCGTGGGGGTTCTCCCTCACTCTGGGGGCGACTTCCCCTCCTCTCTCCTTTCCAGCCCGGGCCTGCTGCGCGGGGCCTGGCACTCTAGGGCAGGAGGTGCAGGAGGTGCTCTGTGGTTCTGGTGGTTCTGTTCCAGT